AGTGGTGGCCCAGTGGTTAAACGGCCCGCCTCTCATGCATCAGGGCGCGGGTTCGATCCTGGCAAGTTCCAATGTGAATTTTCCGAGTCTTATGTACTTTCTAAGAGTATTTAGACATCACTGATTAATTCATTCCCAAAGTGGGTTGATGTCAGGCAGGCGGCCGGTCGTAAAAACAATTAGCCAAAACTATTCACAACATGTAAGGCAGACCCTGGCTATAGCTGGGAAATTGCCAGGTAGAAGAAGATATCAAAGTAGAGACTATTTTTTTCATTTATTTGTTTGGGTAACTTTAGTTAGTAATGTGCGCATCTTGTAAAGGTTACAGCGAGGTCGCCTGTTAGTGTACAATGTGGTTACATGATGTAGCTAGCAGGCTGTGTTGTGTTAAAATATTAACAGAGAAATGTTAATAAGAAATGATAAGAATAAAAATAGCTTAGCTTCGATCTAAAATCTAAATTGTAAATTTAAATATTGATTTTATAAGACTTTCCTTTTAAATAATGTTTCTTTTACATTGAACTCGTCAAAATAATAATATTTATCATATATTTTTATAGCAGTTCTACCTTTCCGCCCGCCGCTTCGCCCGCGCGGAGTTCGGTTATATCGCATTTCCAAGAGAACCTTTCAAAAGTTTGTTATAAAAACTATCCTATGTTCTTTTTAAAGGTCAGCTCTATGTCTGTACCAAATTTCATTAAAATCAGTTCAGTGGTTTAGGCGTGAAAGCGTAACAGACAGACAGACAGAGTTACTTTCGTATTTATAATATTACATAGTAGGGATTAAAGTGACAATATTGTCAAGAAATACTTGAAATATATGCTTTTGTATATGAATATAAAAATTTAGTTCAAAACAATAATAATATATATAATTAGTAGATCACTATCAAGTTATAATTAATTTTTGTTTATTTTCTAGTGACCGACATTTACGTGTCATCTGACGTCTAAGTCTTACATAAATCCTACTCAGCTTTCTATTAACTTAGGTATTTCTTCATTTGTATCTTACTTTTTCTTGTTTTATCTTTGATTTTAATAATATTTTAACTTAGAACTTAGAATATATTTAGAAAAATTATAATTATGAAAATTGAATTATAATTATTTTTGTTTAATTTTTTTATGAATAAATATAATTATATTGTCATATACAACCTATTTTTTGGTATATTGCAACCCTGAGAGTACTTTGATCAGAATAATTAACATTCAGTGGACAAATTTTCAAATAATGTTAATTTTTATACCAAAATTCAATTAAAAATTATACAAAATAGACACTATTGTGAAATAAAATAATATTAATATCTTTGTTAAATCTACGATCTAATAAAGTTAATATTTAGTATACAAATAAATTCTAAACAAGTTACGCATATCTAACATCATGGGACATTTTCGTAGAATTTTAAAAAATTTCGCAAAACGTAAAAATTACGTAAAGTATTTGATGAACGATAACTGAGTCCGTCATTAAACGAGAAGACATTATGTTGACTAGATATATGATGTGATATTATAACAAGTTATATATATTATTATATATATAATATATTATATATAATCATACAAACTAAGAGAATTTCAATATAATCATATAATTTTTTTATTATATTTTTGAAAGTTTTGGTCAAAAAATAAAAGTTAAAATTGAAAGTTTAATAACAAACTTTTAATGATGTTATCTGACTTTCAAACTACAATAACGTAGATGCTCCACGTGACCCTTAAAGAGGCTGCGACCTCTGGCCGTTACTTTTACGTTTGTAGGCTTTAAAGGCAATTAGGTAACGTACAAAACATTTATGGTACCGCCGTTAGTTGCGTCACTGAAGGCTTCGTATGTCATTGTACATAAAACAATACCTATGTATGCAGACATTACTATGGAAATTAAATTATTTGTTGAAATATATCATATTAATAATATATTTCTATTAAAATATATATAATTTAAATAATTAATTTTGGTATATTACTTATATTGAGATTATAAATTTTCTCCATACAAAAGACATCAACGCACATCACCAACTCTACTACTTAAAATTTTCAAACTATGATTTTGATAAGATATATGTATATAATACGGATAGGATTTCATTTAAGTTTATATATAATTATATGTAAAATTTTCTATGAGCATATACAGTGTAAACTCTATATAACGACACTGAAGGGACCGTGCATTTTAGTGCGTTATAGAGAGTTGCCGTTAAATAGAGGGAAGAAAAATCAGAATTAGAAAAAGACAAAGTTTGTTTCAGACTACTGTTAGTACTTATGTACATAAAAAAGAATGTTATAAAGTCTGTTGTTTTTGTTTGACGTGTTTTGCTGCACCAGTAATGTTGTTGTATTTTTTACGTATTTTATTCATATCTTGCGATATTGAGGCATATTGGTGAAGAACGAATTTCTTAGAAAGTTTGGTATGCATGATTACGACAGTGGAGTTTATTGCGGGCTAGGATAACAAAGCGACAAAAAAACGTACACAGTTGCGCATTTTTTACTAATTTTAGCAACTTGAAGGGTACTTTTTATTACTTAATTTTGTCGTTATTGAGAGTGGCTGTGCCGCTATATAGAGTGTATCATTGTATGGTAGACAAGCTAAACCAACCAAAGTCAAATGATTTCGACGCTTTAGAGAGTTTGTCGTTAAATCGAGTGTCGTTATATGGAGTTTACACTGTATATAAATTAGACAAAGAATAAATTTCAAAAAATCAATTATTAAAAAAGTTGTTATTAATTTCACCTACTTTTGTAATAGTACCTATGAATAGTGCCCCAAAGTTTCTTCATTGTTATCGTAATTTTCATTTTATATTAAGATATGTTTAAGAGCATACTAAGAATATATGTACATATAATATTTATGTGTAAATTCAAAATCCAAATTTGGTTATAAAATCTAATTAAATATTCCAACAAAATATTATATAACATGACATATATTAAACATTTAAATACACATTAAAAAAATTAAGACATACTTTATTTACGAAATATTCCTACATATATAGTTTATAAAAATTGCTGTAATTTATTTTCCAGAATATAATTTTATTTCGAAATATTCTTTTTGTAATGACAGAAGCAATACGATAGTTTTATATAGAGGTCAAGTGTTGGTTTACTGAAGCCTTGTTCCAGGATCAATCTGATTACAACCGCATTGGCATTGTGCTCATTGAGATAAAACATTATTACTATTAACTAGCTGTTCCCCACGGTGTTACCCGCGGATTTCCGGGATTTTCTGGATTTCCGGAATGTAAAGTAGCCTATATGTTATTCCTGGACGTCAGCTTCCTGTATACAAAATTTTATCAAAATCGGTTCAGCCGTTTGAGCGTGAAGAGGTAACAAACAAACACACACACTCACAAACTTTCGCAATTATAATATTAGTAGGATTATCAATTATTATCTTATATATAAAATTCCCGTGTCGCGGTGTTAGACAGAGAGCTCCACCGAAACTTCTGGTCCGATTTCGATGAAATTTTGTAAGCATTTTGAGTAGGTCTGAGAATCGGCATACATCTATTTTTCATACCTAACTCATAAGGGTTTTTCAGACTTAATTATTTTTTATTTTCGGCCGAAATTTTTTTTTTATAATGTAGCATTAAAAATACATACAACGAAAAATTTTTATATGACAAAACAACGTTTGCCGGGTCATAGTATATATATAATATGGAAATATTTTAAGTATGAACAATAGTCCTTAAAACATTATGAATTAAACGCGGACACAAAACCTATTCATTATGAACAGTCGTATAATGCGCTTTCAACAACTAAAATATTCATACATTTACTAACATAACTTTTGTACTATTTGTAAGCATTTGTTACGCTTAAAATTTAATATTTGAAGTTAATTTTTTAAAGATTATTTAAGGAACGTTGAATATTCATTTTCTTACATAATTATATATAATAAATGATTAAGTTAATCTAGCTACAATCATTTTAATGAGCCATCTTGAAAAGGGCAAAGCTAAATGTTGATATTATGAAACTAGTCATGGAATGTCAACAAATATTATGGCTGTGTTTGTTTTAATTTGTATTTAAGAAAAATAATACATACATACATATATATACATAATTATGTGTCTGTGTGCGTGTGTGAGTGTGTGTGTGTGTGTGTGTAAAAAAATATACTTAAAACTAAACATATATCTTTTCTTATTATTAATAAATTTGGATATTTTATTTTATAACTAACTTAAGTATGATTAATAGTTAAGGAATCATTTAGGTTAAGGCTGTAGTTAAGGTGTTAAATTGTTTCTAACTGAAAGATACTTCCAGTGGGCGTTACGGATCAATAGATAAGTTAAAACTGACATTTGAAACAAATTAATTATAAAATTTCATATGAAATAGTAAGTAAAAACTTTAAAGTAATTAAGTAAGTGACTACAAAAGTAAGTAATTAAAAACAACTTAATCACTTATGTAATAGTTGTAATTTCTCTAAATTTATGTTAAATTTAGTCGTTAATTTCATCGTCACGAATATAAAACGTTATAAAGTTCTAAGGTGACGTGAATGTGTGTCAGGACGTCTGTAACAAGATGTATGAGATGCAAGTTGCACGCTTACATTCTGTTCACTAAGTTCGTGAATCGTGATGATTTTGTACAACTAACGAGATGTTCACGAAATATATACCAATAATATACAAAACAATGAGAATCTTGATGAAAATATAAAGATATTATATTGTCACAAATTACATATTTATATTATTAATATTAAATGTCTTTACATAGCTGTAATTTCAATTACATTCAATATTACTGATTAATCATTATATATTTAAATAAATACTTCAAAATTTTATAATCAAAAATAAACAATCTCTACATTTTCTACTATTACAACTTGTAATGAATTTAATAAAATAAATCAAGTAGAACCACGTGCAAAACTATACTACGTAACCTTTGTTTAGTCTGATACCGTCCCGCCAGTCACAGCCCGCCAGTGACTTAGCCGCCAGTGGCCAGTCAGTACGCGGCTGTCCTCGCGTCAACATGTCTCCCGTGTGGCTCGTGCTCGCATTACTCCCTATCATCGGTAAGTGCTAGTGATGTGCCGCGGATGTGCTTCACGTGCTTAGTGTTAGTGTCTTGTAATATACAGGATGTCCGGGCTACTTGGATATTAATTTTGTTATATTTTCCTCGTGTGTGGGTTATTTTAGAATATTAGGATATGTAATTTCTTTTTTTTGCGATGTTCTTATATGGAATCATTGAGAAGTAATAAAAATTATAACAAAATTAAAAAATAATTAATAAAGATGTGAAAGAGCTTTTTTAATATATAAATAATAAAATTTAAATTTAAGTACGTATGTAAGAGACACGTAAAATATCAAACACAGTTTATAATTAAAACCTCCTTTTTCATCTAAATCACCGTTAAATAAAAATATATTTATAAAGATACATTTAATACATTATTTAAATGAAGTCTCGCTTTGTTAATATTTTATATATTAATTGCTATAGGTAATGAAAAATTATAAAAAAATAATTTGAACCAGTTTTTAATTTTTTTTTACACAAAAATATTTGCATTTCCAAAAAAACACAATAAATATGTCATTAATATTGCTTATTTACCTGTTATAGAATTTCAATATTTTTTTCTCTTACACAAAATTAAAAAAAAAACTTTCTTATTAAAAAAAATATTTCTATAAGTGATAAATTTTTATTAGTATTAATTTTTCCCTCCATACATATAAGTACAAAAAAAAGTACAGTATTTATGTATGTTTATAAATTATAATAATATATAACATAGTTCATACAAAACTTTTTTGTATTTCTTGCTTATTAAAATAATATATTTCTTTTATACTTTCTTTGATTATATAAATATTATACAACAATTAGAATAATAAGTAACGCATCAATTACATGACCTCGAGCACATATAGGAGAGCTCATCAAATGATGGTTATAGTAAAGTACTATTTAAACAACCTTTACGAATAACGTAACCGATTCTATCCCTTAAAGTAATAGCCATAAGGGAGTGTTATGTGCAACTGAGATGATGCATCTGCATCTGTAAGAGGGATTGCAAGATCGTTGCGCAACTCTAATGCGCTTTCCATTCGTAAGCCGTCAGGCACAGGCCATCGCATCTATGTTAATCTATACCCATTTACATAAGTGAATCTTTTGACCTTTAAAAGTAGAGCGGAATCCTGGATACAAACTGATTCTATGACTAACCTTGGAGTATAACTTTTACAGTAGTACTTATACCACTACTGATTCTAAAGCTGTAGTATTCTGGAACTACTAGCACTACTACAATTGACACTACATACTTAAGTAATAAATAGATAATTTTTAATATTTTTTTTTTTATGGAAATATAATCGTAGGTTCAAATATTACTTTGGTTAAATAAATTGAAGCTTAATTATTCTCAAAATGGAAACTATGTACATAGTTCGTTCAAACAAAAGTTACATGTACTTTTAAACAAAGTAGTACATAATGTGTCAAAATTCTAACGACAGTCATCAAGTCGTGAGTGAAAATACTTCAAGAAAGTGTTAGTCAACCATGAAGTTTGTAGTATTGACGACACATAACTAATATTTGTGAATTGTTTCAATGAATGCGGCGCATAATTTCACACGTCAATAAATTGAATTGATTTTTTTAGCGTTGAATAATCATTAAAACTCGATGTAAATGTATTGAATTTAATTAAGAATTAAAAATATAATAAACATGTAAAAATAATAAGAAAAATCTACTTTTAAAATTGAAAAGTATAGAGATTTTTTTCGTAAACTTCGAACGCTGAACCTTTGAAATCAACAAAGAAATGGTTTATATAAACTTATTATTGGTACAGCATTACACGAGCAGATCCGAGAACAAAAGCTAGTATACGACATTCGGATGTAACATCGATATACAGTTACATAATAATAAGAATTAATATCAACAATTATCAAGTATTTTTTTCTATTTACATCGAGTTTCGTTCCGTTTAGAATATTAGTTGAAGACGGAAAACATTTGCTACCTGTTCCAGCATTTTAACATGCTAACTAGTAACTATATTGTTTAATTAATACGCGCCCGGTCAGTAAAAAAACATTTCTGTTTATGTAATGTTACTTTTAAATCGTATCCTATAATTACTTATTAATTGTTTATTACAAGCGGTTTCTTGTTTTAAATTATCTTGTCTAATTTGTGAATCTTTAAAAGTATCGACGAAATTCAAACTAAAGATAAGTTTACGTATGCACTTATCCATTAGAATCAAAGAAGTTATTATAGTTGTTTTTAAGTCTATAAAATAAGGAGAGTATTAGATTAAATGAAAATATTAGATCTTAAATATAAACGTTAAAGAGTAAACGTCTGCCTTCGACCTTTCAAATGGGATGAGGTACAGGTCAATTGCGTAACCTGTGCATGGGAACGCTTAGCCTTAGCGAATTGCCACGCGAAACATTTGTGATGCAACCACTATTATCACAGTTTAAGAAAAAACACAAGAAACTATAAAATTAAATACAATTTTCGTGATGCGTGTCGGAATATTTAATATACGTGAAAAATCTCATTTCTTTATATCAATATGCACTTTCAATGATATTCATTTTTTGTATTTATTTGTTTAAAAGTTTTTGGTGCTTTAATCTAAACTATAAGTTAATAATCTTCTACAAAAATGTATGATAATAGTACATTTTTAGAACAAAAGAGTAGATTAATATATATTAGAAGTTAATAAGTAGATTAATTTCACATAACGATAATGACAAGCATGTCATAACGTATTAACAAAGTTCATAAATTCCTCTGGTAATGATAAAAGTAAAAAATATAAATATGTAGGCGTGTGAATGTGCCGCTGTGGTAATGATTTAGCAACTGAATTAGGAAAATATAACTGCGGTTTGTTATAAAGATATCCATTACATTAATATAGTGTAGATTAATATATAATAATATTAAATAATAATGAACTTGTTGTTCAGTAATAACATTAACGCAAGTTCTGTTTATTAAGATCTTCATTAAAACTTAAGTAAGCCTCTATTTAAGTTTAGTCTATAGTGACGACTTATATTTGCCATCATAATAAGAAATTCTTCGTATATAAAAAAAATTGACCAATTTATCTTAAGATATTTTTCAACAAAATCCCGTCAACCTTTTAATAGCTAGTGGTTGAAAGTTTTTGAACAGCAACAAAGACAAAACAATGTATTATTAAAAGTATGTTGTTTAAAAGATATATTAATAATTCGTTGACTGTTTCATTAACTTCCCACAGTTTGCTAAACAGGTCATTTGTTTCACGTAATCAGCCTCAATGATACCGGCGGTAACATCTAATATAAAATGAGTTTTTACTAGAAATTACATCCAAGTATTACATATTAATGATGTTCTCCATGATGATGTTTTAACATATTTTATTGGATAAGAAAATGTATGTTGCGTGCTATGAGGAAATTGATATTAATGAGTTTTATTCCCAGGTGGAGCTCAAAGGTTTAACTGTCGTGGAAGAATTCTGGGAGCGTATTATGCGGATGCTAAGTCTGGGTGCAAGGCGTTTCATGTTTGTGTGAGGGTCGCTGGAGGGGGGATTAGGGACTTTAGGTTCTTCTGTCCCCCTGGTACATTGTTCCATCAAGAAGCCCAGACTTGTACAGACTGGGGAGATGACGATCCTTTAGCCTGCCCGGCAGACATCTACGATGGTTCGTTTGACCTGTACAAGATAGGATCTGGTGAGCTTTGCAACTAACAGACTTACAAATAGCTTAATCAAATTATCTGTTGTTTAGATTTCAGGTCCCATAAAAGCAATCGGTAGTATCGTATGTCTTCAATTTTTCTTTTAAACATTATAGCCAAGTAGTTATGCTGTAAGGAATTAGCCTCTTAAGTTTATGCTTACAGATTTATAGGCTTAAAAATGACGCATTAAAATTATTATATTATTTATTGAATAGTAATTTTACGCTGTATAACAAACGAAAGGCTTAGGACATGTGCTTACATAGTCATGCTTGAAGCTGATGAGTATGATGTAATATTGAAATAATTTAATATCTTAGATTTCTATTAACGCTTAGGTATTATTAAAAAAAGTTCCTTCGTTTTATTAACCTTTATTTTTGTTGTTCAGGTTTCGATACGAAAAAGGTCTCGTCTTCTGGCAATCGTGAAGATGAAGCCGAATTCGGCCTACAAAGATCTGAAACCGGAGATCGTCGTCTCTCTCAAAATGCTCCTAGCAGTGGATCTGATCTAAGAGCAGCGCATTCCTCTGATTTCTTCACAGGACAACGCGACCGCGGCCGTGACGAAGCGGTTGCTCAAACCCAGGCACCGGCATCTATAGCAGCCACCCGACAATCATTCAGAAGGATCACAACAACCCGCCCTCCTTATACAAGCACTCCTTTCTACCAAACTTCACCGTCTTCCACAACCTTGCCTCCCCAACCGTCATCTCAGCCCCAATACGAAATATCCAAGCGTAAATTTTTAAGGAAACGTCCCGTTTATTCCTCAACAACATTACCGACAACTGTACAAAACACTTATCCTCCACAAACTTACTCCGAGCCTCAACAAAATTATAACCGTAAAGTTCAACAACAGAACAAGATATTCCCAACAACAGTCAATATCCCCCCACAGTATAAAGACGAATACGTTGAAGTCAGTAAAGTAGTTCCAAAACAATACAATAATAGATTTTTCCCTAATAACCCAACTCCAACTCCTTTCGCTGAAACAACGCTTGCTCCTCAAAATACTAAAAAAGATGGATTTGGTGATTCCTTTAATTACGATACACAGTCTACTCCGGCTAATTACAACGAGAATCGTCCATTCAAAGTAAGAAATAATTTTAACGTACAAAATGATGTATCGAAAGAACAGGACTTCGTTCGTATAAGAAACTACAATAATAACAACAATAACAACAGATCTCCCGTTACATCAACAGCTGATTACAATACAGCTCGTAGCACAAGTACACCAGTGTACAAAAATTTTAACAGCGTCTCTTATGAAACGGAAAAGAAAAATTTCGCTCCATTTCTTGGCGCTAAGCAGACCTTTTATAATAATCCCACCACCACCCCTTCTACTACCACTGTTTATACGACTACCCGCTCTGATCTACCACCCAACATAAACACAATCGCTTACAATACAAACATAGGATTCAATACTCAATCCTCGAACTACGCTGATAGCGGCGAAGACGATGGACAATATCGACCACCACAAGGTGAAGACGACGGTCAGTACCGACCAGAGCTATATGAGAGAGAATCGGAACTACTGTCTGGTGCACACTCTTTAAACATCGCAGCGAGTGGTAACAGACTTCCTGATGACCAAAAGGTCAGAAAAACTTCAAAGGCAGTAGGGAAAACATCACCACCGAGGCCATTCAGACCTTCTCCAACCACAACTCTCCAGCCTTCTGAGTACACCACGACTTATAGACCGCAATCTGAATCATCAACTCATAGGAACTTCGATTATTATCAACCTTACACAACCACATCAAGACCTTACGAATCACCTTCAGTCGCATATACCTTCGCTCCTTCCAACCCACCAGTTAAAGTAACCACGACATTAGCTCCAAGAACAACAGAACGATCACAGCCAAAAGAAACAGCTCAACCAACGACATCTTTACCATACTCCTCAAAATCCACTCGACCTCCCCATTATTCGAAACCCGCAAATCACAGAGAGGACAATAGCTATGATTATGCCTATTACGATTCTGATCCCGGCTTCTCAGAATACGACCAAATAGAGGAGTTTGGTAGAACTAAGTCTAGACTATAAGATACATTACTTTTACTGCCATTAAAATAGTCGCCTCTTAAATTAAAATAAAAAAAAATACATTTGATAAATCACATGCAATGAAATTGATAATGAGAAATAATGACGTAAATTATTGTAAGTCTCGAATTTTATATCTTAATATGTGGTCTAAGTTTTGAAGTGGTATTTATTGTTTGAAAGGAAAATCTTTATCTACGGAGGCTTTTCCAATTTTACGTTACCCTAAATTATTTGTGATATTAATGTGGATTCTTGTATTTCATTAGATTATAATAAAATATTAATAGATGATATAAGAAAACATTTTCTTTATAAATATATTTTATATACAAATAAATGCAGAATTAATTTGATTAAAATATTTAGAGATTGTAAAAAAATCTATGACTTTTAGAAAAATGCAAAAAAGTTATTGTATAACGGATTTTTTTATACAAGTACAATTTTAACTTAAACTTTTATTGTAAATAAAATTATAAATATACGTTTCTAATAGAATACGATCATTGCATTTTTATTCAACATTTCGGAATACCTAAATAATTTAATAATGTATAATTTCTTTTAAATAAATATATTTTATTTCTTAATAAAAAAAAACACGACAATTTAAATGAAAGTAATATTTTTCGATTTACTAAGTGACTTTATTTTAGTTTATAAACTACATACTCCCGACGTTTCGACTACTTTACAGCAACCGTGATCACGGGCAGACGAGATAAAGTCGCGTAGTATTATCCGAAAAAATATTAGTTTCATTTAAATGAATAAAACTCACGAAAATCTTAGATCTCATTATGTAAACACAAAAACAATTTAAATAGAATCACTTAAATGTCACATTCCAAAATTTTGTAAGTAAAATAGAAAAAAAAACCAAAAATAGTAATTAAGTAAAATACTCAAATAAATTATGAAAACGAAACATTAACTCTCATTTTAATTACGACTAAGAATTAAACGTAAGTAGATACAGAAATTAAATTCATACTTAATAACATAAAATTATAAAAAACTATTATTGTGTAACCTTGTAGTATATTTTTATTTTATTGTGCTATAAATACATTTTAACTTCAATATGAGATTCACATCGTCAGTCAACAATTTGAATGATTAAGAAATTGTGAAAATAATATGACAAACTTAATTCTGATTAGAAAGTCATAAAAATACCGACATTATATCAAAATAATCGAGTGCTGTAACATAAATCAGGGCTAGATTATTCTTGTTTATTTAGATTATTACATTTTAGATTAATTGAATTCAGAAATATTGATATATTTTTCTATCTTATGCATATTTAGTAATCTATTTTAAACAAATGAGTGCCATCTGGTATCGAGTAGACAAATTAGGAAATGAATCCATTTTATTACATAGCTTCAGCAAGTCCACACTAGATGTCATAAAAACAAATTTATTAAATTTAAACCTCTTCATTATAAGGAGTTATAATTATTTTTTGTGAAATATTATACTTTTAAGGATATATAAATTATAAAAAAATTATTAATGGATTAATAAGTTTACTTAAAATAGTTTTATTACGGAAATGATTATTAAAATTCTAGAAAAAAATTATATAAAACACATCACTTTTAATATAATATATTAAAGAATTAAAAAAATATTATTTCATACTATAAATCTTACAAGGTGACTTCTATTTCCTTGTACAAAGTACAAAAGTGAAGTGGAAGTTATATTTATTTAAATCTTGCCAACATTTATCATAAAGAACGTCGTTCCATAACTAAAATACCCGTTAGAACCGATCAATTATGTGTTTTATTATACCTGTTATTAAAATAAAGTTCAAGCTTTGTTTGTATGAACAAAATTCCTTATAATTGTATAAAAAACTTTTAATACGCTGCCTAATACTTACAAATACCATCATAAGATTCTTTGGCCAGTTCAATAATGCATCTGTTCTTCTGCTTGCCTCTTTGGTTCGCTTTATACATATATGAAGTAATTCTTATATTTGGATTTTTGATTTAAATTTTTTATTATTCAATAGAAGTGCCGAAACTCTTCAAAGATTTTACTCATGAAAAGAACGCCAGCATGTATTGTTTCCTTGGATAAGCTTATCGAGATTTTACTGAATGGAAACCTTTTCGTCTACTTTTAAAATTTCTTGTTACAAAATCCTAAAAAACAAAGAGACAGACAGGCAGACAGCGAATTTACGACCTGATGCCTTGATGCCGGTTCTCTCAGCCGAGTTACAAAAAAACTAAACACTGAATCTCGAAGTATAATTTTAAGTCGAAATGACGTAGATGGGAAATTTTAATTGGTTTATATTACGTCAATATTAAATATACGCTCATTATATTTTGTGTGTCGATAAGACAACTGGGTTGTTTGTAATTTAAAATAAATATTAATTAAATATTTAAATGTGAGAAAGGGATTTTATTAAACGTATGCTGAGAAGAAGAATTGTAAGATTTTAATACGTTTATTTATATATGTATGTATATACTTCATATTTATTTTAAATCTATTACAAAAAAGATTTGCTGAAAATATTTTGAATAAAAAAAGGATAATTCAATTAAGTATTTCTTTTCTTTAATAATTTTAGGTATGTGTTTTTACTGTGGTAAAATAATTAAGTTAGTTTAAATTTAAATCCTTAATATTAATATAATTTCGATACGGAACACTTTGTTTGTAAATCAGACTTGATCAATATATTTTTTTGCAATGTTTGCGTCAACGGAATCTTAAAAAATATACGATACGAACATCATTCTCGAATGTATACATAAAGAGTAATAAAAAAATAATATGATATTAAGTTTGGCTATTAGTAATTTATTATGTGTAGTAACTGTTCCTAAATTTTTTGTCCTTTCTGGAAGGATACATATTTTTACAGTTTCTACTAGTATTTACAATAATATCAGCCATTTTAGCACAGTTTTGTTTATCGAGGCACGAAAAAGAGAAATTATTTCCAATTAAATAAAAAATGTAAATAAATATATACCTTACATGTTGCAATTAATTTTAAATTTTGTAATCATTGACTTGTATCTATCGCGGAAAAACTTCTAGGCGTATTCTCACATATTTACGATTGGAGTTTCTGTAACAACCATTTAAATTGAAGTAAAACACAAGAAAAACAATAATAGGAAATATATTTACTATAAAATATTATAATAATCAAATCAATATAATATAATTTAATCAAACTTAATATATGAAAGTCCTAACTATCGCAACATACAATCGCCTACCGAAATATTTAATGTATTCTTAATATAATTCATATATTTTATTACATAAGTAATAATTTGTCAAAGGAGTTATTTAAACTTGAAGGTTGTATATAAGTTCAATATTAGTAAACCGTTAACATTATTTGTTCCTATTTTTTTTTTCTATTTAAATCTCCGCGTAGTATTTTGTTATGTCATGTGTGTTTACTTTTAAGCTATACATAACGACTTTATCGAATTCTCTAGAACAAATATCTTTATATTATAACAATATATCTTTGAAAATTTCCTATAATATTTACAAATAAATAAAATTGGAGTGTCAGTTCGTAATACTGAAATAACCGTTTTTTACTTCATGCATATGGCTATGTCTACGGTTCATACACAAAAATAACAATTTCGTTACAATTTTTGTCGTCTGTCTGTTTGTTCCAGCTAATCTCTGAAATGGCTCGACCGATTTTTATAGAACTTTTACTGGCAGGTAGGTAATGTAATAAAGAGTAACTTAGGCTACTTTTATTTTACTAAAAATCTTTAATTTTAGAAAACTAAAGTAATATTGTAATGTCCAAGTACTGGGGAGTACGCCGCGAAGCTCACCCGCATGCCAATAAGACGAAATCACGGGTACAGCTTGTATATTTTGCGAAATCTTTCATATGTCATAATTGCTATGTAGTATTTTTAAAGAAATGTTACAAAATGAATAATTTTGTTATTTACAAGGTTATCCATAATAAATGGACGAAATGAAACTATTAATATTAATGTTTATTATAATATTTTATTTCAATAGTTATCACAAATTTTATTACAAACATTTGTTTTTAGTTGCCAAATACATTTTATATCGACTCATTATATATTTATATGATAATAACAACAATATTAATAAATAATATGTATCGTTGGAAGTATTTCTCTTGAAATATTTTAAAATACATTGTATAATCTGTCAGAACATTGTAGAAACTTAAGTCGAAATCTCAACATGAAGTATATGTACAAATAGTGGACTCGTGTAAACATTGTCGAGATGTTTACATCAATACCTATATATAGATTGCAAGTATTGGCGGGTAAACAAAAATTTATTATAAATCTAATTACTTTATACAATTCCTTTTACCAATGTATATCACACAAATTTCATTCTGAACATGTTTTGTCATAAAAAAATTATATTACACCATTATTTTCTTATAAAAGAGGTTAGTTAATAAAACAGTCTATTGTATGTGTGTACAATATTTTTTTTCTAATATCAAATGTATGTACATGTACAGGGCTGTATTCAATCATTGAATGTAAATATATTCGTACGAACACCCATATACACCATCGCACTATACAATAACACTAACTAATTGAGCTTATTTATAACTGAGATTCACTTTGTACTTAGTCCGTCTAACGACGTACAGGGACATCTCTAGTCTGTGTCACAACACTATCACTGTGAGGCAACAGCACCAGCCATCCGTTGCCGGACATCACTAAGTGCTGAACCATTGCTGAAGCCGTTTAACAGATACAAACTATCCTTTGATTCAACCTTCGATTCTACTTCTATCTCTTTAGATTTTGATCGCTGTGAACAATCATTAATATTAAAATCACTTCATTCATAATGAGATTTTACATAATAAATGAAAGAGCTAATTCACCTTAACCTTCTTGAGGTAAGCCTGCTTGTAGAAATCAGAGAATAGATAGTAGAACAATACTGCGTGCATTCCGATCCACCAAACAAAAGCACGCGGATAGTCACACTCAATGAAAAGCAATTGGAAGGCGTGGAAAAATACCAGCACGAACTGAACCTGTAACAAAAATGAACCAATCGGTTATCAAAAATCAATATATCAATTTGTTCATACGTTTTAATGATAGGTTGTCTAACAAAAAATGTGAACAAATAAAAAATATATGTTTACATCTCGAATATTCCTTACAAAGAATGACTCAGCTAAGCCGCTGCTTCCTTCATCATTTAAGTGTTCGAGCTACGGCTTTGACCTTAGACGGAAAACCCTTTTACTTAGCTAGATGCAAACATTATATTAGACTTGCTGATCTAGACTTAATTACAATACACTATGATATAATATCGCTTGCACTAGTAATGTAAAACCTCATATGTCATTTAATATAGGGTATACATTGTCATTAGTTAGAGATGAACTTGAATAATTTTCTATATAGAGAGATGTACTTGTAAGGTGTAATATAAAGGATTTGCGTTTGTGTGCGTGTGTGTGTGTATGTGTGTGTGTATTCATACCATTTGTAGTGCTGTAAGGTATTTCTTCCACCACAGATACTTTTGAACCTGAGGTCCGAGGGCTGCTAGTAGATAGTAGGAGTACATTACAATATGTACGAACGTGTTCAGCATACCAAAGAATGTTGAATGACCACCTGCAGGTTATACAGAGATTTAGAACTTCACATTTAACGTTCAACAACAAAAACATACATACATCATATAATCTTAACAATTTCTGAACGAAGCTGTCAGTTTTGACACTTAAACGAATATAGTCTATGAGTCTTCATTTTTGTTTATCTTAAATATTATATTATTTATGATTTCAATAAATAAAAAACATTGCGAATAAAAATTTATATAAAAAGTATTTCCACAATAATTTTTACTAGCATATTTATTGCATTTTGTCATACTATAATTGTATACTGCATTTCGCTTTTCAAATTACAAAGCACAAAAAAACTACCAAATAAAATAATTCTTTTTAGGCTATCACGGCTCATTTATTATGTAGACTATGTACAGACTGAATTAAATTACAATATAGCAAAACAAATTATCTAATATATTATAGTATTTGTTCTTCCCGCACCGAAACGCGGTATTTTTCCGTTTGAAAGCGGAATAATACGGAATGTCATAATAATATAATTAAAACCTAGGAAGATTGTAGCTAATGTGTTTTTGTTTTGGTTCAACTTAGAACCAGTCTTATACGCGGACTACCTCATTACGTCATCATGGAAAAACTGTTATAGGTACACGTTAAACTTTTTATAAATCGAATTTAAAGAAAAAAGGTTTTATATTTCTTTAAGAATTTGTTTTTTAATTCGAATTACAAAAAAGGTTGATTATTTTTTAAAGATTTTAATAATTTATAATTAATTTAAAAATGTTCTGATAATACACAAAAGAAATATCTAAGAGTAAAGATATACATTAAACTCAATAAATCTCAGGAAAAGTCAGATCTTTTGTACTCAGCTAAGAATTCTAGAAAACGCCCAAGTCATTATATTTAATATAAATTTCCATACTAATGATGGTTGTTTATAATATGAGTGTACGTTTATCAACACAATGTGTACTATTCCATTCATGTTATAAGTTCTTGAACATAGAACTAAAACAATGAAATGTGTTGCAAGATCTCTCTACAGTTGTTAGAATGGAAACATTTCGACTCATTATACTGTTATATATTAATAACATCAATTATATATATATATATATATATATATATATATAGGTCTTTAATATAAATAGATAGACACAACGTATATGTTTATGTCCTTATATATAATGCTCTATATGAGACGAAACTTCTCAGCATTCAATGAATTCACCGTGTAGTTGTCGGGTCCATCGTTGTAGTGAGAGGAGCTTCAACAGTGACTGGGACTTGCGAACCAGGTGTAGGTTTAAGGGGCCTCTATCTAACGCGCGTTAAACGCTCACCTCCATATTAATAATATATCCTATTCTATATATAGTTATATATCTGATTACGTAACCGTAATAGTAATTTAATAATTTCATAAAATCTATGTATATTGTAATCACATATCCTCTTAATAATAGTTTAAACTAATCATTGCCACTTGTGGTTTTATTTCCTAGAAACAGAAGCGTTTACTTATAATTTTATGTTTTTTATTCTTATTAAATTATAAGTAAGGTACATATATCTATTGATAAATATGAAATATGCTCAATAATTAAATAAACATAACATATGTACTTGAAACGTTAAATGTAAATACAAATTAATTTGTCAATATGTACATATATTTTGAAACATAATATCAAATATAACAAAAAAAAGTCATTCACTGAATACGAAACAATCTTTTTTTTATAACATAAAGCACACTAAAACCGGAATTCAATAAATTACAAAGTTTTTTGCCGTAAAGCTGATACCGTACAAAAACAATTACGTTACGGAATTACTGTAATTAGGCGGTGAAAATAATTTGAACTCAAGCTTTTATGTTATGAGTTATGACTTACGGAACCAAAACGACGTAATTATGACTAACGAAAAAAATACAAGGTAAAACCAACATAAAACCTCCTTGCTCCTTGCATTAAGCCGCGTTGTTTAAAAAAAATGAAATAATAATTCATAAAGTAATTTAAAAATTCTGTTCACGTACAATAAAAATTGTAGGAACTGAGAATATTCTAGAATCATGTTTGTTGAGTTACGTCGCGCAATACAAACATACATACAGATGTACTATTAAATGTTTAAACTACATGAAAAATCAAAAAAAGGACGATCATATTAAATATCACGTTACTTTGAGTCATAAAGTGTCGGAAAAATCTGTTAACAATTATAATGGAATTCCATTAATATGGAAAACTTCGTAGTTTCCATACATTCAATTAATAATTAGCTGAGAATGAATTACTTTTATTAACAAGTTTATTACGACACAGCCAGAAAGATATAAAACCTGTTTTGCTATTTTTTAATATTTTCAAATTAAAAAAAAATTATACATAAAGCAATCAAACACGGAAATAGTAATGATGCCAATTAAATGTATGGAGATAATATTTTGAAGTCCCCATGAATGTCTGTCCGTCTCATAACGAAGTCTACCTTGAAAGTATTACGAGTATACATATATGAAACGGCACTTGTATATTTGCTTTTATTATCTTGTTTGTGTGAAATATGTTGTGTAAATCCAAACGCACAATGAAATTTATAACTAGGTATATCATTTTTAATGTACAAAACAGCTTGTGGATATTTTGCCGCCAAATATTACGAAAAATGATTTTAGTCTTTTATTTTTCAACGATAATTCTATTAATATAATTGAATATCCATTAATTGACTTGATATTCATTCTCTCAAATTAAAAGTCTTATGAATGATAATAAAAATAAACAAATAAGCCATTGATAGTTACGTACCAAAATTACCCAATATACATTTATTATTAATAAATATTACCTATAACTGTTTAAAATATGACTGATTCAAAATAAATATACATCTTTTAGGCCTAAATCATTAGATCACTTAGTACATTTAATAGATAAATCAAACACTGACACTCTATCAAGTCAAAACAAAAATGACGTAAAGTTTTATATTATTAAAAGTTACGTCGTGGTAAATAGCGAAATACGTAATAAAAAATAAACAATTTCGAGTTATCCTGTGTGACTGAATTACGTAAATCTAAATAAACATTTCAAGTCAAATGTTTTATTATTACGAACGTTTTAAACGAGAAGAGCCTCCGTATTATTGTGCAAATAATTCATCTTTACATAAAAGTGCGACGGAAAACACTATTATCACTCTTTGTTCTTACTCCGACAATTTATATTAAGACTTGTCAATAAAACAACAAAGATGAAATATGACTGTATTTTATGTACTCATTTCAAGTTATTTATTTCGAAATAACTATAATTTTCCTTAACGGAACCTTCATTTCATTAGTTTTTAAACGACCTCAACTATTATACTAAAGGAAATATTTTTAAATTTTTATAATATTCAACAATAAAACCGCAGAAAAACTTACAAAGGTTTTTTAATATATATGTAGGAACATTAAAACAATATCTTGCGAGTAAAATTACGTAAATAGCAAATAAAGTTACTAACACACTCTTAATACGTTAATAAGTAATCTAGCTAGCGCTTACGGAAAAACAAGTTTCTTATAGAGCAAGTTCAATACTATGGATAAATATTTGCAAATCAAACATAATTCTTACCTGGCGTGAACTTGACTCCGAACCAGACAGACATTGGCATTATGCCGTGGTGGATGACGTGAAGCTTGGACACGTGGTTGAACTTCTTACGCATCACGAAGAATATCTGGAAGTAATACAATACAACTGTTGTATAGTCCTCTTTATAAAAGAGAGAGAGAGAGAGAGAGACAGAGAAATGGAGAGAGAGAGGGGGGGAGAGAGAATCCACAATAGTCCTCTATAGTCCTATGTACTTTCTAAGAGTATTTAGACATCACTGATTAATGTTGATTCCCAAAAGTGGGTTGATGTCAGGCAGGCGGCCGGTCGTAAAAACAAATAGCCAAAAACTATTCACAACATGTAAGGCAGACCCTGGCTATAGCTGGGAAATTGCCAGGTAGAAGAAGAAGAAGTCCTATTGTATAGTCCCTTATATTTAGTCGTATTCAGTTCCTGAGTAGGAACTGAATACGACTAAATATGTTAAGTATGTTAAGTAGAGTGAGTACTTTATAATGTTTAAATAGTATATACAACTTACATTATCTACTTAAGATATTTCATTGATATGAAATTTTATGAAACTTCTTAAATAATGTTTTGAAATATTCAGTACCGGTTATATGAATTGAGTTCATAGTAACACATAAAAGAATGTACTTCAATACTCTATGTAGATTGAAATATTTTTATCACCTCTTTTTGTATAACAAATCTTTTTATTAAACAAAGAAATCAATAAAGGTTATAAATTATTCAATTGACCTTTATGGTTAGACTAAAAAATATTAAAACAAAAAGTTTTTATATGTTTAGAATGAATCTGAAACTTTTTTATACGATCTAACAAAAAAAAGGTATCTAAAATCTTACATTTATATTAGAAATATCAATTTATGCTTAGATCTATAATATTTTCCGTTAATGAAACAAAAATTTAAATATCAATTATAAAATCATTATGATAAGTTAAATATTCGTAAACAATACATTTTAGTGTTCCGCGTTGAGATGATTTATATTAAAATATTAGGAAAATTAATATGCTAATACATTCATATATATCTGGAAGTAGGAAATTCGTATTATTAAATTATTTATTGCAGAAACTTGTGTATCATATTATAATATAAAAAATAAATAAATATATATTCGCCAAAATATTTAATGTAAATAATAGTATTCAAAATCAGTGCTGGCCTAGTGGTTAAAGGGCCCGCCTCTCGTTGTGAGGCCGCGGGTTCGATCCTGGCCCGCGCAAGTACCATTGTGATTTTTCCGAGTCATATGTACTTTCTAAGACTATTTAGGCATCACTGATTAATTTTGATTGCCAAAAAGAGGGTTGATGTCAGGCAGGCGGCCGGTCGTAAAAACAAATAGGCAAAACTATTCACAACATGTAAGGCAGACCCTGGCTTTAGTTGGGAAATTGCCAGGTAGAAGAAGAATAAAGAAGTATTCATTATTAATAATCTATATATATTTATATATATTCTGTTTGGTTTATATGTATTTATTAATACTTACGGTGTCAAAGAACTCCGTGAACTTAGAGAAGTAATACCACCAACATCCGCGTACTATCTGCAAAAAAAATATTACATTAATATCTTCAAACTATCATTAAGTGGTATAGCTTTAAACTTAAGCGGCTTTAAGCGCTTTAATTTAAGGAATAATACTGAAATACATTTCTATATAAATTAAATCAATCATAGTATAGTCTTAAGCTGAAGCGACATTAAGCGGCTTGAAGCGCTTTATGTGTAATTGTTAGCCGCTTTGATGATCTAGTAAGGATTTTCTTTGACAAATAATAAAGCAATAAACCTTAAATTCAATAAAATTTTTACATAAAACAAATTTATCAAACTTATTCATTCGCTAAAAGTCTTGTAAGTTAAGAATAAATCATAAATTTCACAACATCGCCATAAATTCTTCGTATATATATTTTTATTAGTCATTCAACCTTGAAAACTCTCTCATTATACCGCAGACTTACTAAATTATTATATATATGCTAATTCGCTTTAGGGTTTAAACCTTGATCGAAATTCTATCGGTCACAGAATTGCTACACAGAACCTGTTTCACACTAATAACTCGGAAACATCGGTTTTGTACGAACAAACGAATTATAAATCATACGATAAAAAAACTCCAATATTATAGCTTAGAATGACTATTAATTATATAATTGATTCCGGGTTCACAACACATTATTGGTATAATGTGTAAAGATGATAAAACCGAATTATGAGCGAAAAATTCGAAGGCAAACCACTCAGCGGATTTGATATCATTTTATTAAAGTGAATCGTGTATCGTATAACCTTCTAAAATTTCACAACCCGCTGTGTGAAATAACTTATAAATTTTACTTCATTTATATTAAAATTTGGTAAAAAAATATTCTCCTACCCTCATGGCGTGTGGTGTCCTCGAATAATCGACAGGTTGACATCTGAAGCTGTATGTTGTGAACCAACCGCTCGCAATACTCTGAAATAAAAAAAAATATAAAATTCATGACAGATATACTTAATAAATATTATTAAGCAAACTTAAAATTAAAATAATACGAACTGATGACCTTACTGCGCTTGCAAAACACACCGGTACACACAAACTTAATTAATTAATATACATATATAGACATTAAAATATACGTAACTATATACACAGCGCAGATGAAGAAATTAAAAAGTATCACGTGTTTTATTCATAAAAAACAATAAAACATATTTTTCATACATTTAATATGCGTTAAATAAAAATACTTTCAATAATTAAAGAGTGGACTTCCCCTGGTATTTTTCCTACACTTCAAGATTACATGAATCTGTTTCATTTACTACGACAAAATCTTATAATTTTATTAATTGGTAACAATTATAACTGCCAGTGTTGTAACTTTGTATTATGAACATAAAGGAATCTAATTTAACCATTGATCTCATACGAATTAACTTCTACAAAGAACACTCAAGTTATAAAAGGAGTTTCTATAGCTAGTATAGTAATGTTCAATTAAGTAATTAATAAATCAATCATTATTCAGATGAGTCTGTTGTTGCTAAAGTATCAATTACTTTAAAACGAAGTTTTACTCAACATTTGGAGTTCATTGTCACTGTTCGAAAGTTCAAATCTTAAAGGTCACGACAGATACATCTTCAGATCTAATCTCGTGTAGATATTTATTTATAAACAACGAAATTAAATTAAGTTACTATCTATATGAAATATTAAAGAACCTAAATTATATTATAGAGATGATGACGTTTTGAAACTATGTTATGTCTTAAGGATATATGAGAATTATATAGAATAATATAATATACAATTTTATAGAAAAATATATTTTAGAACTTTATAAAGATTTGCATTCCTTTTTCTTGTATTCATATTCATATTATTATAGTAATAGGACGTAAAAGGAATATTATTCCAAATAATAAATTAATATTACCTCATAGAAGAGCCAACAGCTAAAAATAACTTGAAACAGGTTGTACCATATGAGGATCTGTTTGAGTTCGAATGGTTTTCTGTTCTCCATCAATTTGGGTCCCAAAACCTGTAACATAATTATTCATTAGTAACTCGATGCATAAATACGAAGTTTTTTCGTCGACTTAAAATATAATTGGGCTTATTATAGCGATGATAATTCTAAACCATAAACCATGACAATCAAAAAAAAAATATTAATTTGAAAAAAATAATATGTCTATGTTTCCTGGCATGTGAAAGACAAAGGAATGTGGCTTATACTGTTTAATTAATTTTTTTAAGAAAAAAAATATTTTAATTAAAGAAACCACAAAACATCATAGACTTCAAGGTAACTTTAGGCTTTATTATAATAAAAATATTCTTCTAAAAATTCAATAAAACACAAGTGTACAAAAAAACTATAGAAAAAATATTTCTATATATAAATGGATACAAAAAAAAGTTCTATGAAGATTTTTTTGTTTTTTTTTTTTTAATATAAATATAACTTACTTTAACAATAAAGACATATGTGAGGCAGATGGCTAGTGTTGGGAAGGGTGATGACATAAGGAACCAATCCTTAACCCTCTGGTCACTCTGATTATCCATGAGGTCATGGTACCCCTCAACTATTCGGTTTATAGTTTCCATTGTTCACTGTAAAATAAAATAATTATTATCAAACTCGTAGTATAATGAACAGGAGATCAAAGCGACATACATATACGTATGAGTGTTGAGAACAGCGAGAATGAAATGAACTGCAATTTCGTCAATTTCCCAACGTCGTGTCAGGCTAACCGAATGTCAGGGTGGACCGGCCCCTCTACAGGTACAGCGAATGTATCATTCAGATTATTTTTCACCCCATTCGTTCAGTAGCATGGCATACTTCAATGGACTGATGCGTATCTCAAGTGATATACATATTATTGAAGAAATTAATTCATGAATGGTAACTATTGGTAACGTTTTGTTTATGGAATAGCAAATATCCACGTATTTCTCGATTTAAATTGGAAACTAGACATTTTCGACTATAAGATCTTCTCTCAAGTACATAAAGTATAAAATGTCAGCACCAAAAATTTTAATTCTGATTTTATTATAAGTATCTAAACAAATCTTTGTTACTGCACAGTGGATCAATGACCTTTAAAGACGCTAAATATTATAAAACTAAATACCGTTATCTGATCATCTTCTTCAATACAACACGTGTATATTTAGTGAGAGTTTAACGGTTTTTTACGAAGAATTATGTAACATTCAGTGTCATCTGTCTGTGTGAATGGGGACAGTAGATAAAGGAAACTGACATATAGATTAAACAGGGGTTGACATTTGACAGATGTCATTAATGTCAGCTATCTTAAAAAAAAATATTTTCTATGTAAAATATTCTATGCACAAACTAGCATTTAATATGGCCACAGATTAAAAATAAACTGTCAATTTCACATAGCATATAAAGAAATAAAATTAAATCATTCGAACTTATATTGTTAGCTGCATAAATAATTAATAATGATATGTCTAGTAAGATAAATGATAAACAATAGTTAATTATGCAATGCATGGCAACCTTGAGATAAACGAAAGCTTTTACTTATAAATCGACTTAAGTTTATTGTCAAGTTATTGGAAAACCCATTTAACAAATAACTATATATATCAGAACTCAGTACTACATAAAATAAAAAAATAGACAACTTAAACTTTATTTTATTTATCAATCTTTTTTATTGGTAATTTATTGTGAAACAATCGATTTATAATAATATAATGCTTTTATTTATGACTAACAATCAATGTTTAATGAACATTATAGGATTAAATTAATTTGTTATTTATATGTTTTAAATTTTTCTACTTCGTCTCTATATTCGTTTTTATGTTTATTCCTTAAATATTCTTTACTTCCTAAACACTAACTACATACCAAGCAATACATTTGAACCATAACAGACTTTTACGACAGAGAAAATGAACCAAATAAAACAATATTTTAGAACCTAATTTAAAACTTAACAACAAACATAGCACTTTGGTGTTAATAAGTTCTATCGACATCATCCCTACCATTTCTAGTATACAAAATATAATAATCATAATATTTATTATTTAATATGAAATATTTCATATTTTTTTTTTAACGGAACAATCTGGACTTTCTAATTAAACCCTTAGTTGTTAATCTCAAATAAAATAAACAATTTATTAGTTTTTGAAGTTTAAATTTGTCTTACAGAAATTAGACTGAATCTTCATGCACGATTACTTGACTGTAAAACAAAATTTTTAAACCTATTTGTTGTTACCCATTACATATGTAACTGCATAAATCCGTGAAAACAGTTTTAACGACGCAAATATCGATTTTTAATTATATGTAATATATTAAAATAAGATTACCGGTGTTTCAACATATGTATATCAATAAACTGTAGGTAATAAACGGTAATCAAATGTTATTATATACGAAGGCTGCCATGCATCTCGTCTTTGTACAACTATCACCAATGAACTTCAGAAACTGTGCCATGGTCCGTGAAATTTCCTAACACTATCGGACGTAAAACAGGTAATACATAGATTATTAGTCCGTATTTATTTAATTACAAAGATTTAATAAGTTTTTATATATTATATTTATATAATTTTAAATAGAAATGTTATTTTTTATATCTTTTACGATGACGTAAACAAAGCCTACATAAGGTCAAAAATATACCGGAACGAAGATGTTATTTGCGGATTTTAAGCGATGACCGTGAAGTATGATATTAAACAAAACAAACCTACTCTACCGTGTTCGTAATTAATTAGTTGAGATTCATCTAGAAGTCCGAGCCTTAAACCAATACAGATATTAAGATCCGCGTAAACACTTATCCTATAACAGGTAGTCAATTATACTTTTTTATTAAAAATACTTCATAAAAGACGTTCTCTTAAAATATTATGAAACGACAGTAACAATTTAATGATATCAATATAAATAACAGATGATTTTATTGTAATTTTTAATCCAATTCTGGCATTTCCAGATTGTTGTCATACGCGGAAGAATGATAATATTTGTGAGCGTTTTGTTATGTACATATGTTTTTATGAAATATTTAAATTTTATTAAAATCATATGTCGCGTATCGTAATAATCGCTCACAATCAAGTTTTATTGCGCATTGAGTCGGCGAGAGCAGCATACACATGGACCGAGATTAGTTTAAACATTGGCCCTGAGACCACGATCCCTATGTTATCCCGCCATTATTGTATTAACCGTATAACAAAGAGGTACACAAACAAAGAGGTTTTATTTATATAATATATAAAATACATCGAACTATAAAAGTGCTCATAGCTTCAAACTAGTGTATTTTCTAATACATAATTAACACTAATTAAAATTAAAGGTTTCGAAATTATTTCAGTGTATAAAAGTATGTAAATTGAAAAGTTTTTTACATGTTTTCATATTGATCGTGGAGTCTTTTTTAATAAATTCTGATTTATGTGTTTGAAATAAATTTAACTACCAACTAATACAAAAAAAAAAAACTTAAAATTTTCGTCAACAAACATAGGAAATGATATATGTATACATGTATTAAGGAAGGACGTTTGCCGAATATTACAAAAAAAAACATTAAAAAATATAAAGTCCAATTTATGAGCTACAAATTGCAATAGTGTTTAAAACATTTTATCTCCGATCAATTGCTCAAGTACCATTGATCTGATTTACGTTTTGATGTATTAAGATACTATTGAAATCAATACGTCATGTCAATATTGTATATTTCTATAATATTACACGTTTATCATCTGACTGCTCCACTCCCAGCTTTCAAATCACAATATAAATAATAATTACGAAATTAATATTAAACGTTCAACATTAATTCAAAACAACGATTCATCCAATGTAACATTTTCTATTAATTATATACTTTACAAGGTCGATATTTTTATGACATTGATTGCAACACAATTTTTATGAGAACTTATTAATAATTAATAACAATTTCTATTTTCCTTTTACTGTTCCACATTGAATATTAACCTAGAATGATAATGACAAGGGCGAAAATAATTATTGTATAATGGAAGGATACTTGAAAGACCTTTATTTTCCAGATAATATAAAAAGAAATACAAGTAGAAGTGTTGTAGTGATGAATAGATGAAAAATGTGCGTGTTACGAACCTATGGAATCTCAATATGAAGCGCAACTTGTATTGAATACAGAGGACCTATAATTTGTTATGTATTTATTTATTTTTGTATAAGCACGCATACGCATTAAAACATAGATTACACGAACGAAGGACAATTGTAAACAATAGTGAAATAGTAAATGTTTACTTATATTACTTTGGTTTTCATTCATTTATTTTTATCGTTATTTTTTTGAATTTAGTTTTAGTTTGTTCATAAACAAAGGAATCGCTATAGTTGGCGTACAATAAGTATAATATTTTCTGAAAAACACAATTCTCATCAAGTAAATTTTTACGTTTTCTTGTATTAATGATTAATTTATTTTATTTTTCCGTTAAATTATAATATAAGTAATTATAATTGGTTCAAATGATTATATGTAAAAGAACACTAGTGTTAAATGTCGTTGTATGTGGGTCAATATATCATATTCCTAACACGGTAATGTATTAATTATACTATTATATGCCTGCTACTATGCCTGCTTGTTAAATGTAATCAATTGCTTTATATATTTTCAAAATGTTATGGAAAAAGGTTTATTTCCAGAAATGTACAGGTTACGGCTACTAATGATGAAGGAAATGAATTTTAAAATTCTTTTCGGGATGAGCAATTATAAAAAAATGTGGTTTAAAACTATATAAGTATAAATTATGTAAAATAGAAAAAAAATCAGTATTTATAAGTATTTTTAGTCTAGACCTACAGAGATTATTATTATAAAAAAAATATATGTTTTAAAAGTATTATCGAAAAATAAAAAAGATTTATCAGTGTAAGCGAAAAATAAATTGAAAACCATTACAACTCACGTAATAAAACATTAATTCTATACCATTGTTTTGTCTAAGATATTGATAATCATAGGTATTTATTAATTTTTCATACTAACAAAACCGGTACATCCGCTTCATCCGGTCGTGATAACCGGCTGAACAAGTTATTCACTCTGTCCACGCGTATCATGATATGTTAAGAAAAAAAAAGTTAATCGTATCGCAGGGAAATCCCTTTTTCGTAACAATAAAATCCCACAAGTAACCTTTAAAACTTTTATCCTGTAAAAATAGTGAAGTATGGATTTCAATTCTGTATAAACAAATAAGTGAATTATTTTATTTGTATTCATTTTGTTGTACAACCTGTTTCATATTTTATGATCTAAAAGTTGTGCAATATACATATATACATTTGTACACTCTGCGCTATTAAAATATATCTAGGATTTAAACTATGACGTGTTAAATACTATATTTTATTAGAAAATAATCTTTATTTTCGTAATGAGAGAGTTCATTTTTATTAAATATTTGTTTCAAAAGAGACAGACGGTATAAAATAGATTTAATGAAAGCTATTTTTTTAAAGTATAAGTTTGACGTCAGTGAAGTTCCATTAATGTGAGAAAAACGATATAAAG